ATAACTAGAGGAAATGCTTATATTCCCATGTTAAGAATAAAAGAACACAAATTCATATAAATAAAATAGTAACCAGGTTTTAAAAATATATAAAATAATGACCCTATCTCTGCCAAAAAGTTTTCAAAAAACCAAGAAAAAAGTGAAACACTTGACTGACAACATGGAAAATGAGAGTATGACAACAGGTCCATTCTCTTATATCCATAATTTCAACATCTGAGAAGCTCTGAAAACTGAAGGTTTGTTCATAGTTCATGTGACAGTAAGTGGCCAGAGATGGCAAAAAGCTAACGACGGTCACATTTAGTGTGAATATTCACATATTTCACTCCAAATATTAACATGCTTGATGATACATTTATGCCCCAGACCCAACAAGATGTTGAGTCAGTTACAATCAATTATCTTTCTAAAATGCACAAAATTCTGAATTCTAAAACATATCTGTCACATGAAATTTCAGTTGAAAGAATGCAGAACTGTAAATTTTTCAAATACCATCATTCTTTATATCTTCTTATTACATATGTAATAAAACACTTATAAAATAAATCTGCAAAAAAAAATGCACGTTAGAAGGAGCAAGATTACATGAACATAAACATAAATGCATGAACATAAAGACATAAACATGGAAATTTCTTACCTTCTTAAAATCATTTCTTAAGGATCAAAGTTACCTAATATAATTTAACTTACATTACGCAATTATTTCAAACAGTTTTAAAATTATTCCATTATATAAAACAATCGTTAGAAGTTAGAAAATCATTACCACTTTTCCAGCTTTCCTGATGGTCTGATATTTAGAGGGGTTAATAGTTTTCGTTGATTTCTTTGTTTTTGCTTTATCCAAAACTGCATAAACAGCAAAACATAATCGAGCCATTCTTGGTAAGTCACAAGTATTGATATCAAATTCCAGTGGTTCATTCCAAATATGATCATTTTTCCCTGATACCTCAGAGCTTACGACTGTTTTACACAGGAGCTCAGTACCATGAAAAAGACCAGCCCTGACATGAACCTGTAATGAAGCAGGCAAAAACAAATACAAAATCATTAATACTATACCACTAAAAACATTCCTCTTTTTTTAAATTTGTTTCTACACTAAAAACATCTCTATTTTGGAGAAGGAAGGAACATACTGGAAGAAGCAGCATGCCAAGTTTTCAAAGCCTATTTATCTACAGAACCACTAGACTGTAATTAACCACTATATTGATCACTAAAGTGCAGTTAGTCTAATCTGTTTTTCACTTGCTAAGTAAACAAGCTATAAAATCACGTATTGGTCCAAATGCCAGGGTGCTCAATGGTTTAAACAGGTCTAAAGAAACCAAGACAATAAGTACAAGCATACTATCATATCCTTACCTACTGACTTCATTTACTTGAGGTCTTGTCTTACTCTTTTCTATATGTAGAAAAGAATGAATGGATGTGATAGCTCCAAAGTTTATTTCTACATCTAAGTAATTTATGGATTTGTCAGACTCACACTAACCAAAGAGCTAACAAAAGATTCTATCCATATCTATGATTATCCTTTGTTTTTCCCTAAAGGCCGGGTCCACAGTGATGCAAGGCATGTGTAAAATGTCCTAGGCAATTTTGCTCATTTGCAGTTTTTAAAAATGCATGACCTAATTATCACCAATTTAAAAGTCAGGGCAAAGTAAAGCTAAAAACAGTAGTAAAACACAGAAATCAACCCAGTAATTTACTTTTAAGGTCAAAATTTCTTATACCAGTTTATTCAGATGTGATATTAGCACACAAGATTACTCAATAAATATTTACTAAATAAATACATATGTGGAATTGTTTAGGCTTATCTTTCATTTTTCAAAAGCTTATCAATAAAAGCTTTTTTGGCTAGTTAAGAGTTACCACCACAATTTTTGAAAAGGAAGATAAACACCCAAGAATATCCATATGCTTTTCATCTACAGATATTAAAACAGTAATATAAAAGTTTAAATACTGATATAATCAGCAATTTTAATTATAAATATTTATAATAATGAGTTTAAAACCTATTAAAATAGGCTGGGCGCTGTGGCTCACTCCTGTAATCCCAGTACTTTGGGAGGCCAAGGCAGGCAGACCACGAGGTCAGGAGATCAAGACTATCCTGCCCAATACAGTGAAACCCCGTCTCTACTAAAAATACAGAAAAATAGCCAGGCATGGTGGCATGAGCCTGTAGTCTCAGCTACTCAGGAGGCTGAGGCAGGAGAATCGCTTGAACCTGGGAGGCAGAGCCGAGATCACGACACTGCACTTTAGCCTGGGCGGCAGAGAGACACTCCATCTCAAAAAAAAACCTATTAAAATAATTACAACTATATTGTGCTGGCATAAATAAAACTGTAGGTTAGTAGGCCAGACACATCATAATATAATTTTAAAAAGGATGACTTACATAATAAATAGTATTCTTTCATTTAATTCCAGGAAAATAAACACAGATGGATTAGACAGTTAAATATTTTTAAATGATTAGAAGCTAAAAAAATATTAAAGTTATCAGAATAACTGCTGAGGCTGGATGATGGGTTCATGGAGGTTCATTATACTATTCTACTTTTGTGTAGATTTGAAACTTTTTTTAAAAAATAAAGCTAAAAGAAAAAAATGGTTATTCTAAACACAGATGGATTATTATAACATGATAAATATTCAAGTAACAGGGGTTACAAAGGATACTAAAAGTAATTGTAGTAAATCCTCAAGTCCCTGGGAATTTACATCTGAACATATCATCTAATTCCCTTCAACTCCAGATAAAGGGGTAATCCTTCTAGTCAAATCTCCTGGTCCCATATTGCTCCCACTTCCCAAGTACTGAGATGTTGCTCCTTTGCTCCTCTGCATTGGAAAAATCTTCCTCTCTAGCAGGCTATAAACCTGGGAGGCAGAGGTTGCAGTGATCCAAGATTGCACCACTACACTCAAGCTTGGGTGACAGAACAAGAGTCTGTCTCAAAAAAACAAAAAGGATGTTCACCTGGTAAACTGTGTGAAGAATACAAATAAAAGTAGTTTATAGGCTGGGTACAAGGGCTCATGCCTGTAATCCCAGTACTTTGGGAGGCTGAGGCAGGCAGATCTCAAGGTCAAGAGATCGAGACCATCCTGGCCAACATGGTGAAACCCCGTCTCTACTAAAAACATAAAAATTAGCTAGGTGTGGCCAGGCGCGGTGGCTCACGCCTGTAATCCCAGCACTTTGGGAGGCTGAGGCGGGTGGATCACGAGGTCAAGAGATCGAGACCATCCTGGTCAACACGGTGAAACCCCATCTCTACTAAAACTACAAAAAAATCAGCTGGGCATGGTGGCGCATGCCTATAATCCCAGCTACTCAGGAGGCTGAGGAGAATTGCCTGAACCCAGGAGGCGGAGGTTGCGGTGAGCCGAGATCGCGCCATTGCACTCCAGCCTGGGTAACAAGAGCGAAACTCCGTCTCAAAAAAAAAAAGAGTTTAAAGTGGATGGCAGCAATATTGGTGATTGCCGTCCCCTTTGATTAAAGGGGGACAAATATTAAAATCAATAATCTTTGATTTTAATTTTATTTTATAACGTTACCTTTAAATACTTTTAAATATCCCTGAAAGTATCATTAAATGGCTGGATATCTAAATGTAAGACCCTGTATACAGACACAACAGGAAAATGTCCACAGTCAATCCAAAACTCCTTAAATGAAAGCGTGAATGAAAATACAGTTTGTTTTTTTTTTAGCTTTCATTTTAGATTTGGGGGTACGTGTGAAGGTTTGTTACATAGGTAAGTTACTGTCACAGAGGTTTGTTGTACAGATTATTTCATCATCTAGGTATTAAGCCTAGTACCCAATCGTTATCTCTTCTGCTTTTCTCCCTCCTCCCCACTTCACCCTGAAGTAGACTCCAGCGTCTGTTGCTTCCTTCGTGTTCATAAGCTCTCATCATTTAGCTTCCTTATAAGTGAGAACATGCGGCATTTTGTTTTCTGTTCCTGCATTAGTTTGCTAAGGATAACAGCCACCAGCTCCATCCGTGTTTCCTAAAAGAGATGACCTCATTCTTTTTTACGACTGCACAGTACTCCATGGTGAAAATGTATATTTTCTTTATCCAATCTGTCTGATGGACGTTTAGATGAATTCCATATCTGCTACTGTGAATAGTGCTGCAATGAACATTCACATGCATGTGTCTTTATGGTAGAATGATTTATATTCCTCTGGGTAGGTATCCAGTAATGGGATTGATGGGTCAAATGGTAGTTCTGCTTTTAGTTCATTCAGGAACTGCCATACTGCTTTTAAAAATGGTTGAACTAATTTGCATTCCCATCAACAGTGTATAAGTGTTCCCTTTTCTCTACAACCTCATCGGCATCTCTTATTTTTTGACTTCTTAATAATAGCCATTCTGACTGATATGAGATAGTATCTCACGGCGGTTTTGATTTGCATTGCTCTAATGATCAGTGATATTGAGCTTTTTCTCATATGCTTGTTGGCTGCATGTATGTCTTTTTTTTTTTTTAGATAGAGTCTCACTCTGTTGCCAGGCTGAAGTAGAGTGATGCAATCTTGGCTCACTGCAACCTCTGCCTCTCAGGTTCAAACAATTCTCTTGCCTTGATCTCCCAAGTAGCTGGGATTACAGGCACATGCCACCATGCCCAGCTAATTTTTGTATTTTTGGTAGAGACAGAGTTTCACCAGGTTGGCCAGGATGGTATTGATCTCTTGCTCTGCCCGCCTCAGCCTCCCAAAGTGCTGGGATTATAGGCATAAGCCACCACACCCGGCCGCATGTCTTCTTTTGAAAAGTATCTGTTCATGTCCTTTGCGCACTTTCAATGGTTTTTTTTCTCATACATTTATTTAAGTTCCTTATAGATGAAGGCTATTAGACCTTTGTCAGATGCATAGTTTGCAAATATATTCTCTCATACTGTAGGGTGTTTACTCTGTTGATAGTTTCTTTGGCTCTGCAGAAGCTTCTAAGTTTAATTAGATCCCACTTGTCAATTTTTGCTTTTGTTGCGATTGCTTTTGGTGTCTTTGTCATAAAATTTTTGTCCATTCCTAAGTGAAGGATGGTATTGCCTAGTTTGTCTTCCAGAGTTTTGTAGTTTGAGGTTTTACATTTAAAGTAAATGTAAATGTACATTTACATTAAGTACCTAATCCACCTTAAGTTGACTTTTGTTTATGGTGTAAGCAAGGGGTCCAGCTTCAATCATCTACTTATGGCTTGCCATTTATCCCAGCACCATTTACTGAATAGGGATTCTTTTCCCCACTGCTTGTTTTTGTCAACTCTGTCAGAAGTTGGTCATAGGTGTGCAGGCTTCTGGGCTTATTCTGTTACATTGTTCTATATGCCTATTTTTGTATTATGTATCATTTTTTAAAGCAACCATTTGGGTTTTTTCTCCCTTTTTAAGCAGGCAGTTTCAGGATTAAGTAGCCACACCCTTAAGGAATCTTTCTTTAAGTCCATGTCTGAACTACTTTAAATGGTATTTCCCTGTGTTCCCAGAAATCAGTAAAAAAGCCTGGGGACTTTCATTTTTAGTTTCTAAAGACTATGAACTAAGGAAAATTACAAAGAAAGATTTACAACAGCACTTTTAGGATCTACCTTATATGCTATATGCAAAGTATCTAAATTATGAAAGACTTACATTACCACGGTTTTTTTTTTTTTTGAGATGAGGTGTCACTGTCACCCAGGCTGGAGTGTAGTGGCATGATCTCGGCTAACTGCAACCTCTACCTCCCGGGTTCAAATAATCCTCCCACCTCAGCCTTCCAAGTAGCTGGGATTATAGGTGCACACCACCATGCCAGGCTAACTTTTATATTTTAGTAGAGACAGGGTTTCGCCATGTTGGCAGGCTGGTCTCAAACTCCTGGCCTCAGTGATGGGATTACGGGCATGAGCCACCATGCACCCGGGCTAGCACAGTATTTTTAACTAAAAATAGCTAAAATAGAACACTAGATAGAATAGGAAAAAGTGAAGGCATATTAAGACATACTTCACTTCTCATATTCCTAATTACTTTATTTCACTAAATAAAAGTTTAGTTGTCTGTAAGATTCAAACAACAATTATTTTCTCCTGAGCAATTAAGAAACAGCCCCACCATCAATGTCTGTATCAGCTCTGTATCATCTCCAGAAAAGTCTTTTTTTTTTTTTTTCTGAGATGAACTTTCACTCTTGTTGCCCAGGCTGGAGTGCAATGGCACAATCTCAACTCACCACAACCTCCGCCTCCCGAGTTCAAGTGATTCTCCTGCCTCAGCCTCCCAAGTAGCTGGGATTACAGGCGCTTACCACCATGCCTGGCTAATTTTTTATTTATTTTTAGTTTTTTTTATTTTTAATAGAGATGGGGTTTCTCCATATTGGTCAGGCTGGTCTCAAACTCCAAACCTCAGGTGATCCACCCGCCTCGGCAGCCCAAAGTGCTGGGATTACATGCGTGAGCCACCTCGCCCGACCAAGAAGTCTCTCAAGGCTGAAAAAATAATCAATTTCACAGCTTTAAACACATTATCAAAAAATTTGTATGATATTATATACTCAACATTTAAACTAAATTCATATAAACTCCCAATCTGCTCTGCAAACACTGACAAAAAAAGAGGGAGGGGGAAGAAATGTGTATCTACAGAGTGGATATAGAAAATGAAACTGAAGAAATATCTAGGCTAGAAAAAAAAGCTTGGGAATCAAGCAAAGGTGGTGTACTTTTTCAAGTTTCTGACAAGGAAAATACCAGTAATTGCTTTCCAAGATCTGAAGATGACTAACTGAGAAGAAAATCACTCAGAGGTGGTGATGCAAGGTCCACATGCCTGAGGCAAACAACTCATTGACTTCTGAGTTCCTGGACCTCAAAACACCAACTGGGTACTTCTCTCCTTCCCTTCAGCCACACAATCCCACAATCCCACCCTGAATTTGACTTCATCACACCTTAGCATCTACAAATTACTAATTATTACATCTCAGTTTCCAACCACTTCCCATCCCCTGATTCCCAAAGGAAAACTGTAGCCCTCATTAAGACCTCTATTTCAGCTGCTTCCGGGAAGAATGGTCGACTAGGAACAGCTCAGGATTACAGCTCCCAGTGAAAAAGTGCAGAGGGTGAGTAGATGCCGCATTTCCAGATGGATTTTTATTGCCCACAGACCAGGAGATTCCCAGGCGGAGGAGCCCCATGGGTCGCCAGCGCTGCTGTTTCGGCCCTGCGTGGCTGCTTTGCCCGCATTCTGGCGCGGCGGTTCTCAGTACAAAAAGACACTGGTCCAGGTGCCCTCTTAGCTGACGATTGGAGCCCTGAGACGGCAGAGTCGCCCATTCATCTGAAATAGCGAGCCAGGCCAGGAGATTCCTAGGCAAAAAAACCGCCAGGAATCTCAGCGCCGCTGTTTCAGCTGGCTCAGTGAGATGCGGCACGGGAGATCCTGACGTCTTTTCAACGGGGAGACAGTCGACCGTTCAACGACAACAACAAAAAAAGACTCTGAGTCAGGGAGCCAGGTGATCGGGTTAGTCTGATCCCACCCCACCACCACCCCACACACAAAAAAACAAACAGTAACTGAAAACGCTCTGGGTTGAGAGTTTCACAGCAAGCACAGCTGAACCCGGGACAGTCCGACTCTGTGGGGTAGGGGCGTCCGCCATTACTGAGACACTCCACCACTAGGGAGGCAGTCTGACCATCGCTGAGGCAGCCCGCTGTTGCTGAGGCAACCTGCCACTACTGAGAGAGTCTGCCATAACAGAGGCAGGCCACTATTGCCAAGGCAGTTCTAACTACACTCATATAAACACGACTGCAGGGAAGATCACATGGCAGCTGGGCAGAGCCCACAGCAGCTCAGCAAAGCCTCTGCAGGCAGACAGTGACTAGGCTGCCTCCTCACTGGGCAGGGCAGCCCTGAAAGGAAAAAAAAAAAAAAACAAAAGGCAACAGCATAAGGGAAACTCATAAATAAAGCCCTAACTCCCTGGGACAGAGCACCTGGGGGGGGAAAAAAAGGGGGGGGCGGTTTATGAGTTCTGCTGCAGCAGACCTAAACGTACCTGCCCAACAACTCTGAATGAACAACGGAGCTCACAGCTCAGGACTTGAGCTCCAATAAAGGACAGACTGTCTTCTCAAGCAGCTCCCTGACCCCCCGTATATCCAAAGAGTCACCTCATAAAGGAGAGAACAGACTAACATTTGGCTGGCATCCTTCTGGCACAAAGATAGCAGAAGAGGAAACTGGTAGCAACTCTTACTGTTCTGCAGCTGCTGCAGGTGATCCCCTGGTAAGCAGGGCCTGGAGTGGACCTCAGCAGTCCTACAGCAGAGGGGCCAGACTGTTAGAAGGAAAGCTAAGAAAAAGAAGTAACTTCAGCATACACAAACTGGAAGTTCATTCAGAGACCCAATCTGAAAGTCAGTAACTACAAAGAAAACAGGTGGATAAACCCTCAAAGATGGGAAGAAACCAGTGCAGAAAGAAGAAAACACCCGAAACCAGATCACCTCTCCTCCTACAAGGGATCACGACTCCTCACCAGTAAGGGAACAAGGCTGGATGGAGAAGGAGTGTGATGAAATGACAGAATCAGACTTCAGAAGGTGAGTAATAAGAAACTACAGTGAGCTAAAAGAACATGTTCTAACCCAATGCAAAGAAACTAAGAACCTTGAAAAAAAGATATGACGAAATGCTAATGAGAATGGACAACATAGAGAGGAATATAAGTGAATTGATGGAGCTGAAAAACACAACATGAGAACTTCGTGAAGCATGCACAAGTTTGAACAGCCAAAGTGACCAAGCAGAAGAAAGGATATCAGAGGTGGAAGATCAACTCAATGAAATAAAACGAGAAGGCAAGAATAGAGAAAAAAAGGGTAAAAAGGAATGAACAAAGTCTCCAAGAAATGTGGGACTATGTGAAAAGACCTAATCTACGTCTGATAGGTGTACCTGAATGTGACGAAGAGAATGAATCCAAGCTGGAAAGTACTCTTTAGGATATTATCCAGGAAAACTTCCCCAATCTAGCAAGGCAGGAAAATATTCAAGTCCAGGAAATACAGAGACCACCACAAAAACATTCCTCAAGAACAGCAAGCCCAAGGCACATAATTGTCAGATTCACCAGAGTTGAAATGAAGGAGAAAATGCTAAGGGCAGCCAGAGAGAAAGGTCGGGTTACCCACAAAGGAAGCTCATGAGACTCACAGCAGATCTCTCAGCAAAAACCCTACAAGCCAGAAGAGAGTGGGGGCCAATATTCAACATCCTTAAAGAAAAGAACTTTCAACCCAGAATCTCCTATCCAGCCAAACTAAGCTTCATAAGTGAAGGAAAAATAAAATCCTTTGCGAACAAGCAAGTACTCGGAGATTTCATCACCACCAGGCCAGCTTTACAAGAGCTCCTGTAAGAGGCTCTACACATGTAAAGGAACAACCAGTACCAGCCACTCCAAAAACATACCAAATGGTAAAGAGCATCAACACAATCAAGAATCTGCATCAACTAATGAACAAAAGAGCCAGCTAGCATCAAAATGGCAGTATCAAATTCACACATAACAATGTTATCCCTAAATGTAAATGGACTAAATGCCCCAATCAAAAGACACAGACTGGCAAATTGGATAAAAAGACAAAACCCATCGGTGTGCTGGATCCAGGAAACCCATCTCACATGCAAGGATACACAAAGGCTCAAAATAAAGGGATGGAGGAAGATTTACCAAGCAAATGGAGAGCAAAAAAAAAGCAGGAGTTGCAATTCTCATCTCTGATAAAATAGACTTTAAAGCAACAAAGATCAAAAGAGACAAAGAAGGACATTACATAATGGTAAAAGGGTCAATGCAACAAGAAGAGCTAACGATCCTAAATATATACGCACCCAATACAGGAGCACCCAGATACATAAGGCAAGTTCTTAATGACTTACAAAGAGACTTAGACTCCCACACAATAATAGTGGTAGACTTTAACACCCCATTGTCAATATTAGACAGATCAACCAGACAGAAAATTAACAAGGATATCCAGGACCTGAACTCAGACCTGGAACAAGCAAACCTAAGAGACATTTACAGAACTCTCCACCCCAAATCCACAAAATATACATTCTTCTCAGCAACACATCACACGTACACTAAAATTGACCACATAATTGGAAGTAAATCACTCCTCAGCAAATGCAAAAGAACAGAAATCATAACAGTCTCT